TTAGTTCACTCTAAAAGAAAAATGTAGGCCCAAATATTATAATGGCAACCACCGAAGCAGTGTTTTGAAAAGAATCTATACAAAACTTCCAACTTCATGTCTTTTGCCAAAAGATATTTCAGAAAATAAGTTCTGCCTGTCAAGTTATTCATGGAATTACTTCATCCAGACACTGGATGCATAAATTACTGATTGCATAATTAATGCCCACTCTTCCACCTTGTTTTCACCTAGCAGTATACACTAAATACCAATTAAAATATTTCCATGCATTGATAAAGCTTCACAAGTAAGAAATTATTATGTCAGATGTTGTTTGTTAGCAACAAGGGAGGGTTTGCCACGTGACAGGTATAAGGAAAATGTATTTTTTGCCTATTAAGAATAACATTGTGTGTGATAGTGTCAAATACATTCCTGTGGGAATGCTTATAGATCTCTGTGTGTATTACATTTCATCGATGCCTGTGAAGTCCACCTTTTCCACTCAGCTGCACCAAACATGCCTGGTTGCAGCTGAGAATTCACTTTAGCTGACATACACGCAGGACTGTTACACATGCTAGCCTGTGATGGCCATACAAGCTTTGTTTCACATTTGGCAGTACATGACAATATTTTCAGTATCAATAACAAGATCTGAACAATTTGAATTATAGCTCTAGTTATGTCTCACCATCATGGAGGTCTTCCCCTGCTCTTTATTTCAATCTCATTTAGGATGCTGACTTTTCTCTTTAATTAAATGGCAGCATTCTAGACTTGGTGAAGTTATCATCTAGAATACCTCTCTAATGTTATCAAAGGGCAAAAGGGCAGAAGTTGTGTTAATGCTCAGTACAAGTTACTAGTTTTCACAGATTTAATTCAAATTAAATGGAAGATCAAATTCACCAATGATTGAGGTAAGTAGAACTCCTTATTAAAGCATAGAATGAATACAAGAACCACATGATTTTCTGACATTTCTGGGAAATAAGCATTTTTAATTCTCAATATTTTGAGACATATGCCCTAAAGTTATTTAAGTGTAAAATAAAAATCTTTAACTGAACTTTACATAGCAGGATAAAACAAATAATTTGGGTAAGTTTTAGTTGCCATTTCTAAATGTTGAAGATTTAACAGACTTAGTTTTTATATCTAATTATCAAATGTTCGTTAAACGTACTGTTCTTACAAATTATTATGTCCAGTAATGCCCAATAACAAAACTAATCAATAGTTCTATCACATAAGCTTAAGTGTTCATATAACCTATTTAATTAAAGCAAAAGCATTTTAACTATTAATAAACATAATGTTGAATATTCTATGATATTAATATTAATCATTAAAAATCTAGTTCCCTTAGGGGCTTCATTTGTTGAATCAAAATTAAGAATCAGCAGAAGTAAACTCCTCAGAGAAGCTTTTTTCTGTGAATATACAGGTGCAGAAGAAGCAGTGCCACTTTTGAATAATAGACAGGACAGAAGTTTCAGGGAACAGAACTCTAAGTTTAGTCCAGTCCTCTGTTTTAGGAGATGCAAGCACTCATCTTCTACATCCTAGAAAAAACCCATACCACAGGTCTATAAATTGCCTGGATCTAGCAAAGTCAGAAAGGAGGTATTTTCTTACTGTATTTCTCCCTTTACATTATTTCCACTTAGCAGAAAAGAGAGTTTGAGATTCTCAGTATCGAGAAAGAACATACTATGGCATACATCACTGCAGTTTACTGACTACAGAGTGTTAAAGGACAGGAAGTCTTAGATATAGTTTCTGGGCCTACACTGTTCCAGTTTTCTACCTAAAATGTGAATGGTTCCGAAGCTTCAGACAATCCTTCAAGCATACATTAGAGAACCCAAGCCGCCTCCTTTCTCCCCTTCCAGATGAGCTCTGCTACCACAGTCTGGGCTGTGATTCCATCTTGACAGTCCAATAAATCTTAAATTCCTGGGTCAGGTCCACAGAGCTAAACAGTAGAACCTGAGACTCTCACCGTTCCAGGAGAATGCTCTAAAGCAGCAAGAATTTGACATAAATTTACCTAAAAGGCAGATAAGGTTTTTTTGCACTTTTGAATAAAAGGTGTAATACATCTCTCCTTAAGAGAGCGCTGGAGGCACACATGTGAATGCTTGAGGAATTACAAAGGAATGTCTGTAGTCCTTTACTAAAGGATGATATAGCAGTCAATCCAGTCTGTCTCTGTCTTCTCTCAGACAGTTTTCACATAAGCCACCTGCCGACAAGGAGTTCTTAATAAAGTTAGCAAAGATAGGGTTTCACAGAAGAGGTAAGGAGACAACCCTTTATGTCAGAGCGTAACCAAAAGAGCATGCTGGGTTATTTCTTCGCACCTACATACCTGGATATACGTACACACATGCAAAGAGTTATACTATTGCACATTCCATATCCAGACACATATGTGCTCCACCTCTAAACCATCGTGGGTTTTGGCAATGAACCTGAATTATTTAATACATCTGTAGTGTGTTGGGACATACAAAAGCTACCAGTTTAAAAGGTTGTATACAAAGTAAGTATTGGCAGAAGTCTCTTGCTTTTTCACAATGCCTGATCATACAATTAGGATGCCACAAGAAACGAATTCTGAATGTGTGCAGGCAAAACTTAACTTCCATAGTCTGCTTGTGAGGAGTTCATTGCTGCTGATCTTCCTCTAACTACTTTGATCCTTATTTTCAAAATTGTTCACATCTTGCGTAGTTGGTTTTAAGCATAAACTTTGAACAGTAAAAGCAAATTATTGTTTTTTTCTAACAGCAACTTTTCATTTAGCTTCCTCTCTGTATTGCAGAGACCAGGCTCTCCTCACAATAAGACTGATCTCAGACTATGTTCTATTGTCCCTCCCATGGACAGAATCATTTCCTAGTACCTAGCTCTTGCTCAGCCCTCAAAAGAACTACCTTTCTGAGAGACAACTGTAAGGCAAGAGGACACAAGGCTTTACTGAAAATCATTCTGGGGACTTAATAGGCTCAAAACATGGGTCTAACACTTTACTGCTGGGAAAAATCCTCACCTCCCTGACCAGCTATACAAGAGGCTTCTTCTGTGAGACATTCCCAGTGAACACTCTTTTCATGTCTGCTTCTGAGGGACTGAGACTAAGGGACTGAGGGATTAAGACTAGAATTTCTCTACTTTCATATTCTCACTCTTTGACTTAGATGGCTTTAATGTGGGTTATGAAGTCTTCAAATACATAAAGGTTAACTGCAAAGAATGAAGGGAATAGGCTGTTCCCTTTCTTCACAGGGCAGAAGATAACAGCTAGGGGAACGACAGCAACTGCCACGTAATTTAAACAAAAGTTCAAAAAGCTTTATAAAAGCTTACTGAAGCCCTGCGGTAGACTGCCCAAGGGGATTCTGGAATCTCCTCCACTTGTAATTTTTAACACCTGTCAAAGTTACTCGGTGATAGCTTACCCCTTTGGGTCGAGAAAGTTTAGGTGATATCTTATGTACCTCACAGACTTATAATTATTATTATACAAGATGAATATTAATCCATATTACATTCCCATGACCCTTTGCGCCCAGACGTACTGCTAAGTCTTCTATCAGTTTGTCTTCAAAATAGTGTTCTTCTGTTTCAATCCAAGATTTATCATAGCCTTGAAGAAAGAGATTGACAGCTCGGTGCCTAAAAGGGGACATTTAAAATAAAAGCTGTAAACCTTTAAAGAGAAGATTTGATCAATATGAATTTCATTTAGCTTGAAGAACTGTCCATTTCTTACAGCTACCATTTAAAAGGATAGCAAAATTTCTTTCATAAAAGAAATTGCTTATTTCTGCCAAAATCATCTATTTTAAAAAAATGAAGTCTGCACTAAAATGCTCTACTCAAAACTCTGACCCATTAACTTGTGATACTGATATTAAACTTTAATAATAGTGATTTTAGGAACAGATAATAAATAGAATTTTAAAGAACTTTAAAACAGAGCTTAGAAATAAAGTCAATTACTTTGCCACATTCGTGAGTTTTATTTTGAATATAAAATACTTTTATATTGTTTTAATTTAAATATTACGATAACAGCAATAGATAACTTTGGATTGTACTCAAATAATTGTGTTTTCCTAATGTTCAGGATTAGACTTGCATGTCTAAGATAATAAAACCTTTTTCTCCAAACCCCATGAAATGAAATGGATGAGGACACTAGGGGAAAGAGGGTAGGTCAATGATGATGTTTACTGGTTTTTGGGTTTGGGGTTTTTTTTCCTGAGGATTCAATGCAAAATGGACTGCGACAACCATTTCTCCATGAAGAATTTTAACAATTGACTTAATTTTTTAGTGAAAAATTGCTTGTCCCATATACTGAAAAGGAAGAAGCATAATTAAAATATACAGGAACGCAAGTTATGTGCAGGTGACCTACTTGTTAAAGTCAGAACAGCTACAGCTGCAATTATCTCTGTTCTGTTTTCAACTCTCAAGGCAGCCTCATTTCTGGCTAGTATGATCCGCATGCCCTTGTGCTTTCTGGGACATACTTTAAGATTAATCCTACTAACTATGGTAATAGTAATATTATGCATACTTTTGGGAACAACTGAGACTATTATTATGTTGAAAAGACCAGATACAAGTGTTCTGGAAATTATTTTTAGTAATTGCATGAAAAGAATGATGTCTACTTTTTCTGAATGTTCATTCCTTCCAGAATTTCAGGATTCTGAAACTTCTCGTACTATAAATCCCTTTCTCTATTAAAAAGGAAAGAAGAGGAAAAGGAACCACAGAAAAAGGCGTGAAGCACCTAAATTATGTGCATATATTGCTTGTCTAATAGAATGCTCTTCCCAAAATTGTACAAAAAATAGACAAGTTTTCAGATAAACAGTATCAGTTCATTTCCTGCATATAGAGCATTTAGCATCTAATAATAAAGGTAAGTCCGTATTTCCAGAGCTATACTATGGCTTAGGAGGAAATTTATCTCCCAAAATGATATTACAGTGACACAAATACGCTTGTTTCTGCCTTTACTCCTCTGAAATGTGTCTGCTTTTCAGAAAAGAGAAGATACTGGGATGAACAGTTAGAATAACAGCAGGAGGAGAGAACCAGAAAATTAAAATTATACTTTGTGTTATTCTTTTCAGAAGATATAAGAAAGTAATTAGATCTATTAAAAGTAAGTAATATAAAAAGTACATTACCATGCAGTTTATCAGCTACTGGTTTACGTGGTTCACTTTCTTTTGATCTCGCCAAATAGCACTGTATGAACGTAAATGCATTTGTGAAAGACAGCAAATACAGCTCTTACCTTGGCAGATTATACAATGGTGCCATTCTAAAGCAGGCAACTACTGCTCTTTTCCTCTGCTTAGATAGCAGCTTATGCCACACTGCTTTTTTAGACCGCTGAGGATGCTCAACCTGTTACATGAAAAACATGAAAAAAAAAAAAAGCCGTGTGACAAAGTCCTTACTGTGTGGGGACAGAGATAAAAATGGGAGAGAACAGATAAATCAAGAGGAAAGATAACAGATTAATAATACGTGGGAAAAAGTGTTCCAGACACAGTTCAAGTAATCAACCAATTGTAGAATCAGAATTTAGAATATAAAAACAAAAATCTCCCTTTCTTTGTATGGTATAGATATTGCCCTTTTTTAGTTCATCCTACTTCTTAAATCTTTTAGATAGAGTATTATGATAATTGAGGCCATTTCTCAGGTAACCTTAACTTTTAATACAAAGAATCCTCACTCTTTTTATCTTTTATATGTAAATCTTTCCACATTGCCTCAGACAATACAAGGAATAGGAATTCCTTGTATTAGGAATATAGGAATATAGGAATACAAGACAATACAAAGGAATTGTCTTAAATACAATTAATCCTTTATTTGTAGTATTTACTATGACCAGCTACAATGGAAATGAGTTAACTTTAAAAATGAGAGACAGACACTGAGACTTAGTTAGGACTAAATCCCTTCCATGAATCTGCATAGCTAGAATGAACATAAGATATTCCCAAACACTTCATCTACATGTCATTAAATTACAGCTCTGTCTTAAGATGTATTCTCTTTCTATCCTTTATTTGTAGTATTTACTATGACCAGCTACAATGGAAATGAGTTAACTTTAAAAATGAGAGACAGACACTGAGACTTAGTTAGGACTAAATCCCTTCCATGAATCTGCATAGCTAGAATGAACATAAGATATTCCCAAACACTTCATCTACATGTCATTAAATTACAGCTCTGTCTTAAGATGTATTCTCTTTCTGCATCCTGGCTCTATAGTAGCATGAGATGAAATTGGGTGTGTTCCATCCTTATCTTTTGCTCTTTCAATTTCTATTTTTCCATCTTCCATCCTTGTTTCCATCAGAAGAAAATGACTACTGTGGTCCAGAACAGCAACTGCATGCAACATTACATAGCCTGTCTGGATAACTGGGAAGTATGACTACAACCTACACAACTCATAGAGCGTTAAGAGGGGGATGTCTTTTTTTTCATCTTTTTTTTTTGGGAGGGGGGTGGGGCGCGTTGTTTGGTTGGATTTTTCTGTGGTGGTTTTGTTTGTTTCTTTTACAGACAACTGCACTTGTGGAATAATTGCTCCTTTATCTCCCAGCACACACAAAGGAGTCAAGGGAAGTTAGCATCTTGACCATGAAACACTTGGTCATTCTCCCCTGCAATAAAATAGGCCATTTTATTTAAAATATTTAGTGATTATGATAGTTATATAGAATTAATATTCAATCAAAATATTGTTAGCCAAGAGGACTTTTCTAGTTTACTGAAACATGAAAAAATACCCATAGTTAAACAATAAATATTTAACTAAAAGGACTAAAATACTGCCAAGCATTCAGTGAAATGGATAATTAAACTTATAAGGTTAAATGGCGACACTCTAAAACACATTCCTTCCAAAAAATAAAATACAAATGAAAAACATTTGTAAGAAAGAAGACAGAAAAGTGTCCACGGCAAAGATACGCACAGTCATGAAACCAAGTCAGCACTAATAATTTAGAAGTTAGGCAAACCCAAATGTGACGGTTAGGTCATTAGTAGTATCTTCACAAACAACTACAAAACTCTTTATACTTTCCCAAAAGAAATAGCCTCGGCCTACGCAAGCAGATCTCTGAAAATAATAAAACCAAGAAGTTAGCTGTGCATGGAAAGAAAATAGAAAGAATGAACCGATCATTGCCAGTGCAGTAAAGAAAGCATTTAGAGTATGTATATATGGAGAACAGGGCATTTGTGTATGGAAAGCAAAGGATTACTCAAGATTACCATAAAAACAGACCCAGTGCTTACAGTCATTATTTTTCGACATTGAATTACCTGTTTCAGTAACAAAAACACCTGAGCACTTGTCTACAGAAGATAAGTGAAGCTGTGGGGCCAATCTTTAAATAAATAAGTGTAAAGTACCCAGAATAAAAGCAGCCAGCATTTACTTCACTACAAGTCATTAAGTCTGATCAAAAGGTGTGATCAGAAATGTTGATCTGGTATTACAATGGGAATTCGTCCCATTTTATACTATTGCTGGATTCTGTATGCTGTGAGACTGATCTTATGACAGAACATAGAAAACACAAGGATCATACCTTGGGTTTCACTCCCTTGAACAATTTCTCTGAACACAAGCTTAACCAATTTATATACATGATGGTATAGCTACAATGCCAGAAATCAAGGGATCGTATATGCTGTTTGAACTCAAATACAACAGTCTAATGCTGAATTATGCAACACTTGTACATGCTAATCAATTTCCTTTCAGCTCTGTTAACTTTGATAAAACAAGTGTAAAAGATAACACCTTTTGACCCCCATATTTCTAGCTTTCCTTCACTCTACCTTCTTCCTCACAGCCACACAGTACCTTTTCAAATCAACATCCATTCTCCTGTCTGTGTCTCTCTAGTAGGCTGTGATTGCCATGGATTTACTTACACATTCTATCACTTCTTTTTGCTCCACACATATTCATAAACAGGTAAAATAGGCTGCTGAACTTGAAGGAATTCCAAATTAAGGTTGGCAAACTAAATGAAGAAAAGTTGTGTGATGCAACTGACAGGACACAGGTTCCAAAATCTCTGAGAGGCACTTTGAGTATCATTTGCTACACGGGGTATATACATCTACTTTCACACATCTCTCAGATTCCTACTTGACTAAACCAGTGATCTTAACACAACATGGAAACTTCCTGACAGTGAGTCTGACAACCTGTGCCAAGCTTCTGAGTAATGCCAACAAATCTAATGAGGGGGGGGCAAGAGAGCCTTGAATTCTCAAATGTTTGGAGAAAAATAAAACAAAAAACCAACCCATACCCAAACCTGAGTAAATTTTGTATGCAGTCAGTTTATAGCCTATAGTGTAACCAGCAGCATTCATCTCTGCAACTAGGAATACCCTTCCAAGTTAACATGCTGTTTCTCCAGCACATTTTAAAAAAGAAAGCCTAGAAACCACATCACAAGTCTAAAGTGCAAAGTAGCTAACAATTCAGTAAGTAAAATGAGAAAACTAAATATATCAAGTAGCCTTTGATTTGTACCAACATAGGGGTTTTTGAGTTTCAAAATTTAAAGAATTAAAAACTTAAAGATAAGTAAAAGACTCTCATCCCAAGGTGATGAAAAAACCAAAATCAAAACCAACCAACAATCACCTAACTTTCAACATTTATTATTGGTTGACCTATTTCCAGAGACAAGTTTAATCAGAGAGACAAAAGACAAAACTCTATCAATGCTGCTGGAAAGAAAGACACAAAATAAATTACAGAATTTTTAAAATTAAATTTACTGTAGTCCAGGTCACATGGGAAGCTCAGGTATTCATACAAAAAATATTAGACAAAACAATAGAGTTTCATGCCAGATTCTGAAAGAAGTTAAAGCAGTTTTAAGTTTCTTCCTACTTCTGTAATTCAAGAATCTCAAATGGGGAAAAATACCTTGAACAAAGGCATTTTTTCAATTACTAAGTTGTTTTTTACGCACATTTCACAGTCCATGGAAAATTTAGTGATTGCTTCCTGCTAGCTGAAATGTACCAGGAGGAAGCTAAAACACAGGTATCACTTTCTTAGTCCTTTTCCAAATAAATTATTTTTGCAGCTGCTGCAAACACACTGTGTGATCAGTATGACCAAGATACTGGATTACAAAACCCAGGGCAAAACACATTAAAAAAAAAATCAAAAGAAGGAAAAAAGAATATAACATTAAACACAGCAGGTGAAAGAACAAATGAAAGGCTGAATGCTTTTATTTACAATAAGAAGCAATGGAATTGGGAAAATGTGTCTAACCTGTTCCAGGTGAAACAGTACATTAGCTATATCAAGGACCCTTTCCACAGTCTTCTCTGGATCTGAGGAATCTTCAGTCCTGTTTGGTAAGTCTTTGTAAAGTGCCATCTGCCATCTAATGGCGGGATCCTCAAGCTGCAGGAGGAAGATTTCACATGTCACCAAGGCAAAAATGTTTCAAACGTAGGGTCAGACCCTCTAATTAGTACAGAAACTGCTTTAAAGGACAACAGAAGCACTTTATATGGCTAACCCACACCTTTACATGGCTAACCCATACACTGTACGCTACACTGGCTGGGAGAACAAAACTAGAGACAGTTGTGCAATGTTTCCTAAGAGCTTCCAGAGAAGCAAAGTCTAATAATCATGCAAGGAGCAAATGATCATGGGCCAACAAATAGAACTGACACCAGAAATGAATATATTATTTGAGGAAAAGTAATGAATATGAGGTAGACAGACATAACTTTATACAATGATTTTCCAGTTATTAAACCAAACAACAATAAACTTGTTGCTGCACTAGTTGGGATTAGTTTGTTTTCAGTCAGGGAAAGTAGTCAGATTAGTGTTATTTATGTCTAATTCTTTTTAATTTTATTTTTTTTCCAACTGTTACAAAATCCTAATTTTGCTGATTACTAGCTAAAAAAATTAAGTTAATTTATGAATAATGAATTCCAGATGCATCCGCTTATTCGCCTACAAAATTATAAAGAACTGTAAGAAGCAAAATATTTTTCCTTATTTTTCTATTTACATTTCATTTTTTCCATTTCAGTGATCTGTGATTCTCTGTTTTACCATTGGCAATCTTTTTGGTTCACTTAGTCTCTTCAGTGCTTCTGCTAATAAACACTGATGCAACACACTTTGCAACCATTTCTTGCGCCAGTGCCACTGGAGACAAATGCAATGTGAAACCCATTTTATTGAGAGCTGTGGCCAGTGATCAGGTACTGATTGTACCCTTTAGGTTTAAGTCACACTGGCCTGGATTCCTAGACTAGTTAGGAGCCTAAACCCTACAGATTCAATTAGGGCTTAAACTCAACATTTACTTTTCTAAACTGCCTTTGTGGATCCAAATTTCAATTTCTGCCTAAGATGAGACAATAATGCTAATTCAGCTCCACAAAACATCTTATGATACACAGTTTACTGAAGTTTCAGAAATTATTATAAACTTACACAGTCGCTCAATAATAGCTTATTACAACCTAGAAAGTCACAATTGACAGGCATTTCTTCCACCTTTCGGCTTTTCCATTTCTTAACAACTGTCACATCCACAGTCTTTGTGTGAGCATTTGACTGGATCATCATGAATGGATAGTCCACAAAAGACTTTTTAATCACAGATGGAGATGTCTTTTGATCTGAGGACTCCTCACATTCTATCAAGGTACAGCTTTTTTGTATAGGTAGTTTTCTAAGGGTACGAGTAGTTGACATTTCAAGGTGTGAATTAGCATGGCTGGAAGATTTTGGTGACTTGAGCTTCATCCATGTCAAAATGAATTTAAGTTTCGTCATCAATTTCTTGAAATAAAAGGCTCGGTACTGAGTAACAGCATGCAGGCATGCAAGGAAAGGAAAGACAGAAACAGGGTGAAGACAAATGTAGACAAAAGTACACAAATGCATGAAACAGATGCCACAACATTAATAGCTAAAGATTCAGGATGATTCTCAAACAGTTCAGTTTTCCAAACAGAAATCAAGATAAATTACGGTTTAGCTCTAACATAAAGGACAGAACAGGGTGTCTGTGAGAAGAAAAAGTGGCCAGAAAACATGATTTGAAGAACGAACATTGCTATGGTTGGAAGAAAACCAGTCTCTCCAAAAAGTGGTATTTTTCCTCTGAATTGAAAGCCACCTTACACAAACAGCATTTTAACTGAGTTACATATTAATTCATAGCTTTAAATAATAAATTAAATTTAAGACCATTTGACCTACATTGCTTTTACAACTGACTCAGAGAAAATAGGGCAGTGTATGCACATAGCACAATGGCATCATTTTTCTTACCAAGAAACATCATACTCAACTATATCTGAAGTGTACTTGATTCAGACATGATAGTGACTGAATACTAATGACAGCAAAGAATTACAGAATAAATTACACTGTACTTTGTAAATATCTACTGAATTTTAAACATTATACCTTTAAATAATTAAGTTATACACTTAAATTTAATGTGTACTCTAGAATGTCAGTGCTAAATTATTCATGAAAAGATATATTTCAAGTCACTGAGAACAAACTACTTAGCAATAGATAAAAAAAATCATAATAAAGGTAATATACACAATAATAAATTGAAGTTCTGAATTCCTAGAAAAGTTGTATTTTGTCTGTAGTTGAGTGACTGGTTTTCACATACAGGTCAAAACCAGAGCTTTTCAAAGCTAATAAAGCAATATACGTAGATAGCTAAGAAATAAAGCTAGCTACAATAACTATTTGGGGTTTTTTTTAGCTATGTATTATGTGTTTCCCTTCCAGAATCTCATCTTCCACTGGGAAATCATTTTACAGCAAGGAAAAACCAAATTCAGTGCTGAAAATTTCATAATCTGAAAAGCCATCAATGTGTACTTTGGATTAGCTAAGACACTTTCCTTCTTAATTATCAAGACACTGTGAAAATTAACCAATTAAGAACTTTACAGGTGCTTTTATTCTCATGTTTTAAACACAGGTGAGGTGATATGTGGCTGGACAAAACACACTTTTAACTGAAGCAAAGGGAGTTTCTGAAGAGTAAGCACAGGTCAAGGTATGAAGAAGTATCATTACTCCAAGGCCACAAAGTAGCAACACACAGAAATCTCTTAACAGCAGTATGCAGAATGTAACCCTAAAGAAATAAAATAGGAACTGAAGTTGAAGTAGTTAAAAAAAGAGGACAAGTGCTAAAAAGCAGCGTGAAATGCCAGGCCAGATGTACAACTGAACGGCTCACAAAATGACAATATAAACAATACTGAAGATATAGAATAGAAATACCTATCCTCATTGTTAAAAAACCATCACTGTAGTTCACACACAAAATCACAACACACTCAAGGTTTGTATGTTGATGGCATGCACCTCGCTTAAGTACTATTGCTCATTAAGATCTTAATAAATGCTATTTTCTTCCTGTTACTTTGCCTGTGTGGTTTCTTCTGCTCCTCAGTATATAACAATATTTGCTATTTAAGGACAAGCAGTTCAATTTAACCAAATACTTTGTTTTCAAGTGGTAAACTTTTCTATGTGCAATCCCTATAATTTAAAGCTATTGGACTTTTATTTGTAATACTTTATGAAAACACTAATTGTTAGCTTTGCAAAATTATGTATCTTCCTAGAAACCCCAACCTCCACATAATCTTGCTTGACATTGCAGCATTATAGAGAAAACTTTATATAGGAGAAAAATAATCTTCAGATATTATTCAAGAAGAACCATCTCATTACCATATTTTATTGCCATGCACTGAATTGTGCAAAGTAGAGTTTTTTCACTTCACAGAGTATGCCAAAGTGGCAGCTTCCTTTTCCTTTACACTTCAAACTGATACAAAGTAACTTGGAGCATTTTGCAGGTTTTATCCTGAATAACAGATGGTACAGTTTAAAGAGGAATGGTACGTGCTTCCACCTCCAATTTCATAGAATGGAAAGCGTAATTTCATGTTAGTGGTATATATAAATACTAATACACTACAAATTAATATTTAACAACTGACACAAGCAAGTTACTAGACAGAAGAGAAGAAGGAACTACAAGTTATCCTAACAAACAAAGGCAAATTGTCATTATATGGCACCAACAAATGAATTCAAAGAAAGAAAAATCCTATTTAAAACTGCATGTAGATTACCTTGCCCTGGAGATGAAGATTACTGCGGATGATATCTCGTACTTCATCTTCAGTATCTTTCTGTCAACAAATTACAAATCATGTAAATTAGGAATAGAAGGTAATTAAGATAATGTTCATATAAATGTCAACCTTAGGCTTAGTTCAGATGATGAATAAAACTGACAATATGAAAGATTCAGGAAAATCTCAGTGGAAATACATCTTTTTGTGTCAGGCCAGAACTAGCCATAGCCAAGACCACAGGAACACGTTCTGGATGGCATCGATCAAATAGGCCCACAGTAATACACTAAATCGAAGTCTGAATGACTGTTATTAGTATATACATACTTTAACCAATGTTTGACCAAATGAAACCACTGTCATGAACACAGGAATTTTTTTATCCTGACAATATAAGAGAATATAGCCTTGTCTGACTTGATACCTGTTTCTTTTGTAGATCTTTTATCTTTTACACACATTCAGTTCAGCTGTCCAAAGGTCATGTATATGCTGAGTATATGAAGTATCATAGCTTGGGAAAGGAGTATATTCCAAATTACAATCACATTGTTGCACCATGAATTTACTGTTAGAAGAATCACTTTTAGAACAGTTTATCCTTACAGAAATACTTGCATTCACATAAAAGTGATCAAAGGGAAGTTATGATACTGGGTATAGAAGTTAGGAAATATCCAGTTCTTATTTGCATTTCGAAATTCAAGCTTCAGAAAATATAACTGATGATTTAGAAAATAAGTATGTCCAAATTGAAATGCTTTATGCCCTGAAAATGAGAACAATATGTAGATTACTATACCATAGTCACCCACTGTGCCTTTATATAACAGAATTATAGTCTTGATTATTCGTGTCATGCTGTAAGACAGTATGGGCGTAAAAATTCAAAGAATTTCATTAGTAAAATATTTCTACCTTTTAGAAGTGCTAAAAGAGCCCCTACCATGCTGAATCGATTTTTGGCCAGTGCAATTAGCTCTTGGTCTCCAGGAGCACAAATATTTAGGCCAATGGGAAGCAATCTCTTCAGTGCTGCCACAATGAGAGAGGTCTGCATGGAGTACCGGTCACCTTTTCGCTTCATCTTCTTCCTCTCCTGATCAGAAACTGCTGCCTGCAGCATAAAGGAAAGCAAAAAAAAAAAAAAAAACACCTTAAAAATCCAATTTTAAATAAAAGAATTGCACTACAGACTTTGCACTTGTCTCTGGTTTGATAGTTTCCTTACTACTTATACATCTGCATCCCTATCCTACCACACTGCCATTATATCACTGCCAATATTTTGCACCAATATCTTGAAAGTTCACTGTGTTTCTCAAGCTTCTATCTTTTGATTTGCAGCCCAGTGTTTTCAATAGTTATCATTTAAAAAAAAAAAAAAAGGGGGGTGGGGGGAATGTGCTTCTCTGGATGTCTCCTGTTTTCTTCCCCTCTGCAAAGAGAAATATATTAAAATCTTTACCCTACCTTTGACATCTTAGATTTGGTGTCACTGATAAGGAAAGACATGTTGTTGATTTCATTTTGTACCACAAAGTTCTGTTCTTCCCTTTTGAAATTCTGGAAATATACAGAAGATTGCAGTTTAAATTAAAGCACTTATGATATACGAGAAATCTACCTAAACAAACCTTAAACAAAAACATAAACTGGAAAACAAGAACATAAAATTTAACTGGAAATCTGTGAAATCAACAAGATAAGCACAGAAAAAGGTAATGGATGATCAGTAATGGCCTTGAATTCCAGCTTTACTGGCATAGCTCATGAGGTTGTGTGTTTGGGGTCGTCTTCTATGTTAGAGAGAAAGAAATGTTTCTCTGGCTATGAAACAGCTATCTAACCCCTCCTCAAATTCAATATAAACATATTATCTGTTTTCCTTTACTAGTAAATCATCCATTCCATTTTTTTCCAATTATAAATCCAACTATATTCAGATGCACAAGAAACTTAAAATAAAAAGAGTGAACATATGAATACAAAAGTAATTTGATGATCCAGTACCTATCTACTGTGTAGATATCTAGTTTCTATCTAGTTTCTGTGCACAGTGATGTTTATAATAAATCTTACAGTCAAACTCAAGTACCAATACACAAGTAACATGGCATATTGCTTCCAAAACTTGACAGAGTTGAAGTTATGGCAGAAAATAAATTTAGTATAGATAACAGTCCATAGAGAGACCCAATGCCTGGACACAAGTAGTCTCTTCTGGGTTTGGTTTTTTTTTTTCCCCTTCTTTTTTGTTCCAGTATTCAAATGAATCATGTTTTATTTTCATTTAAGCACTATCAGTGATGGTGCCTAATTAGGTCTTAATGCAGACCTCTTGGTTCTTGCATATAAACCACAGGAATCAGACTTGAGAAACAAGGATAAATTTTGTAAAAGTGGAATCAAGAAGAAACCGTTAACTGGTAAAATTTATTAAATATGAAACAGTATCTTCTAGGAAAAATAATTTCATTTTGAGAATTACATATATATTTGCTACTTCCTTGCTCTTAGGGCACTAACTGACTTTCCTTTTTCCAATCCAGCTACAGACCTAGGTATAATAATTGAATTATAAAATTCCAATTTTTATTAAAGAAATACAAATCTACACTGCAACACCAAATTAAGCAACTGTAAATACAGCTGTGCATCTCCTCCAGGATACCCTTGTGCCATAGTTCTGTTGAAGACCTTTCCATGTGATTTTAATCACAACTCTGCCTAGAGGTTCAAGCAGACAAACTGTACAGTTTAGGAAAATGCACTTTAAAGAGACAACCACTACTAATTTAGTAGGGACACATCCTGGTTATAAAAAGGCTTTGGGCGTGAAAAATAACTGAGGGGGGGATAAAATGTAAGGACACCAGCCTCAATGAGCTTAATATGTATTTAAAACAAAAAAAAAAATCACACAAAAACCACAATAAAAAAACCAGAATTTATGTGAAAAATACCTACAATCAGTGTTATCATCCTAAAAAACACCCATCAACTTCCTTAACGACTCAGGCATGTCAAAAGTATCAGAAAACTGAAAGGCATTAATATCTTCCCATCTGCAGTTTCACTTCTGACATTGTGTTTTCCCAAATACAATCACTAAACAATTGACCTGCCCTCTAAGAAACCTAATTAAAACAAGTATTTACCAAGGAATTACTTACATGAGACTTTGACCAGTAAATGAAGACCTCAGCCACCATGCGGAACAATTCTTCCGCTTCAGGGTTGGGCACTTTAAGCCATTTTGCCCTAAAGTTTGATAGAAGGGTGGAAATGCACATGATCCTCACTTCATGCTTTGAAATCAGTTTTCAACATTTTACAAGGATACAAGCAAACAAACCAAGCATGCATGCTTTTAATCCTTTCTGGTAGCAGCGGCTTTTTGATGTCCGATTTCAAACCCCTTAAAATCCTTTTACGTTAATCCTAGGTCTAATTCAACAGATTTGGATGGCACTTTTTTATTGGTTTTCTTCTGAAAAAGATCCCAACTGCTTCTAAAAGTCATAAAGCATCAGCTTGAGCAACTGCAAGGCTGACAGCTAAGTAAAAGCTACTTTAATTCAGTGCTAAGTATATCAAGGGATAAGAGATGGTGTCAATAAACAGGAAGATTTTACGAGATTCAGTGGCCTATTCCTCTCCACATACCTGTTATAGTCCACAAATCTAATCAACAAAGGGTAGAAGGCATAGAGGTCCCGTGCCAAAGTGGTGAACTCATCTAGGATGAGCAGTTCAGCCTCCGACATGTCACCTCTGCCTTCTGCTCTTAGATGTTCTTCATCCGATACAACCACTGCTGCTTTTTTCTTTAGCTTATCCATCAGTGGCAGGAAGTGTGTCTTTAGGAGCTGTGGCTTCGCTTTGCTTATGATGGGCTGGGAAAACACTATTTAAGGCAATGAATATTATAATATATACCTGGCCACAAAATATAAATAAAAGCTTTTACCTTTCCCCTCTTTCTTGGATCCTGTTTCTAGGCTACAGAGTAAAATCCTGCCCCCATTGAAATCAGCAGAAGTTTTGCCAAGAATTAAATGTGGTCAGGATTTCATGAAGTAAATTCGTTTTGTCACTATGAGCTCAACAGACTAGGCTTGCAAGATCGTAAAATGTGAAATGCCTCTTTACTGGTACTCTGTCAACAGGTTGGTATTTGACAATTTTATTGAGTAATGTAGTTGCTTAATGGTACGTATGGGTGGATAGCTACATAGCGCACACAATTATTCTCTGCCACTGGCTCCTCTTCTGAACCTTGCTTTTTAGCCTGAGTGAAATACAACTGGAAAGCATGCTATAGTTATTTGCAAACCTACGAAACAGGCTGCCTGTATTTCTTACACACATTAGGACACTGGACGGCTTGTGTGTAGACAGAAATGAAACTAATTCAAGCATCCATCAACCAGCCATTTGAGACTTGTTAGCACAAGCTTTTTGCAAATCTACTCATAAAAATGAACACATAAATTAGCACTTCATCTGGGCCCATTAGTCAAAAACCATTTGTAACATATCCACTAGATTACGAAGAATTTTAGGCAGTTACCACTTATCCTTAGAGTGCATTATATTACTAACACTCAAAAGACTAGGAATCCAGACTGCTGCCATGAATGAAGTTACTATTACAATAAGTAATCAAAAGTCGTAAGAAAGCCTAGTTAAAAAACTGAATCCACAACAGTGATTTTTTCCTTACAGGTTGTAAGACTGAGAAATAAACTGGTTTAAAATAAATTTTAACGTGTTATCACAATGAAGTTCATGTAGGTATTATTAAAATGCCATATGCATTTCCACGTTTCATTGTGACAGAATTGTTAGCTATAGAGCCTCAAAACTGTATATATATATATAGCTAACTGTCCCTGCCCAGGGCAGGGGGGTTGGAACTAGATGATCTTTAAGGTCCCTTCCAACCCAAACCATTCTATGATTCTAAAACAGTATTTTACCAATCCAGCACTCACAAAGAATAGCAAGGGACTGTGTAATGACTGTAATGGAAACTTGCTATCTAATGAAAACAGGCTAAATAACCATAGTTCTTTAATTCAATGCAACGCAAAATGCATATGTGTATATTCTGGGGGAAAAAGAAATAGTCCAACGTATTTCTTATATTACTTATTAAGAGATTAAAACATACAACTTATACTGCTCTTTCTTTATACTAAATATTTCTGGTTCATCAAGCTCTGTATTATTTAAAAACATAAAAATATGAAAACATAAATGTTGTTCTACTCCAGCTTTAACAGGGTAAATAAAGTAATTTCGCGTGTATATACACAAACAGTATTCTCAATATATGCACACATTTGTTTGGCAAATTATTTATTTATTTTTACGTCTTACCTGCTAATCTCTTCATCCAGGCTCCTTCATCAATACCAAGGTTGTTGTAGATGATTTTCAGTATGTTACCCAACAGAGTGTTCATGTGCTCTGATGTCAAGGCTGTGCAGCACATTTCAGTCTTGTCAGGATTGTTTTCCGGCCCATGCTCCCACCAGTGTGACATGTAACTACATAGCATAGGCAGTATTACTTCCATGATGTGTGGCATTTGTGTGTAACGAATACCAGACTCTGCCAGTTCCACAATTTCTTCCATTAGCTTCACCAAGGAAGGAATATTTGGGCAAACCTCTTCCACACTAGTAGGCAAATTAAGAACTTGGGGAGATAAAGAAAAATAAAATCAGTAACTTAAGTCATAGAGCAAAAATAATTTTTTTCAATTGCTAATTCCATAAACTTTATGCCCTTCTGATCCAAGGAAAAAAACCAGAAACACAACAATAAAAAAACAGGTAGTTACATACCACTGAGCTTCAATAATAAAGCTTTCTATAACAAATAATTCCTATGGAAGCTTCAACAATGTAGTTATTACAGAATTAATTCAGAGAAATCAGATCAGCTTAATCTTCAGAATTTCTTCAAACACAAGCTTTTCAGTCGAGGAAACAAATTGATACAATGAAACATCTGTCCACTACACATCATATGAGCCCCTGAATGCTATTAGAAGATCATTGCCTGACATTATGAGTACAGCAGATTCTGAGAAACTGACTTCTGGAGGTAAATTTCTGATTGTAAATGTTTACTTTTCAAGTAATTTGATTTTTCAGTTTCTTCCTCTGAAAAGGCACTGCAGTTGCCTTTATATTTGGAGGCAGTTTCTTTTGTCTACAAATAAGTATCTGTCAGCACAACTCTTAGCTCTTGAATGTCTGACACCCTGATCTACACATTGCAATGAGATATGTGGATATACATATACTGAAAATTTAGCCTGCAATTCGTGATCCAAAATATTTGTACCAACATAGCCTAAGGCTAGTCTTTTTCCAAAACTAGTCTTTTCTCCTATTTAGATGCAAATATATTTTTGTACAGCCATTGCAGAGTCTCCTTAAAGCCTAATGCAGTTTTGGAGGATTTCTGTTAAAAATCAATGAAAATATATCTGATTTGTCCTAGACGTTCTAACACAGCTAGAATATGTATTTTAGATAAGCATGGCTGTAGTACCTTATCTTGAAAACATCAACAGCTTTTGGAAGAATAAATCTGGTACACTCCTTTTTTAAAAATTAAATGTGAAGTTATAAAATGGATGCCATGATAAACTGGCATTTTATACACCATCCTTTATTCACATCTCTGATAGAATTCACACTCAGCATATATGCAGATTTTACACAGTCCTTCTGTAATTTCTGTAGGAACCAGTAGTGCGTATGACCTTATTCAACAACTATGTTTTAGCTTAAGAAACATCAAGAGTTTCAGAATGGAACAAAAAAGGTATACACAAAATATACCTACATAAAGTTACTGGGAAGTACCTGTACAGTCTTATATTTCAAACAAGGGAAAAACAATTTACATACTACTCTGCAGTGTATTACTTTCTAAGGGTCTCTTATGTACTTAATACAGGCAAAGTTATTTTGCTCCAGTTGCAAATATGTATGTTTCAGGGACCGAATATTGCACATGAAAACTGAGGAAATAAAGTTACTGATTAGAATGCATAATTTTATTAACAAATATATATCTTAGACAATAAAACTGTGCTAAGTCCCTTCAATAAATGGATTCTCAAGTGGTATTTTGAGAATGGTATCTCAAAAGGAAAACATTGGTATCTTTAGAAACAAAATAATCAGTTTTAACAGACTTAAGTCCATTGATTTAGGAAAGAAATACAACCAAGAGATTACAAGAAAATTCTTGCACTACAAAACAGATGCAAAAATACATGTATTAAGACAAGCAGCATTTATAGTGAAACTGTGTTTTCAGAACCATCACGTGAGTTTAAGGAAATACCTGCTCTCTCTCGCGCATTCTTGGTATTGTAAATTGAGTAGATATTGTGTTTATTCAAATGAGTTTCCAAAAAAGCCACTGGAAAGGCACCTGAGAAAGCAGCCAAGCATTCTCCTAGTGCTGATCGTTGCCTGCGAATTAATAAACATCGTTAAGTATACACACCTTTGATGCCTGACTATACCTCGGAGTAGTTGTGTACCAGCCTTATTTCTACTCTAAAATGAGATTACCTCAAAGACATAAGGCACTACATTATTAGGATCATCAGCACAAGAATAGGTAATAGCAACGGAAACCCAGTAACTCTCTGCTAATTTAAGAATGAAATGTTAAGATAAAAAATGTCAAAGGTGGCCTACTTAGCTGACAGCAAATGAGGAACATCCAGGGAACATGCAAAGTCATCATAACAATGCCTTCTGTTCTGTTACTTTCATCTCAGCTTTACCAACTTTATAATCTCTACTATTAAAATAAACCTACTGAATAGACCAAGAGAACAAATACAACTATCATTTTATTTGAGTGATATAATTTTCTGAGATATAGTAACAATCAGACTTTGGTCTAGCATGAAAGTCAAGTTCTTCAGAGAGTGGAAAATTGCTTCTACTGATCACTAAGTCAAAGTTTTGCACAAAAACACCTAATCTCTTCAAATATATCACAATATTTATTTGATAAGCAAAATTCTTTAAAGTGTGTTAAAACTGTAAAAAGCCTGTCTCTAGCAAGAAGTGATCCCCTGTCACTTCAGGGGACATTTTAAACTATTCTTTCTGATTTCCTGAATTCAGTTGATCAGAGATAACTTTAGATATGTGAGAAATCCTTAGCTGCTGAAGCTGAGACACACAAATAACAGAAATCCAGGAGTTCCATGAACTCAAGTAAATAAAAAAGGCCTCCAAACTGATCTGGTGACTTAACAAGATTCATCTTCACTCTATTGTTTGTCTCATTTTAGTGTCTTAATATTCTTTCTAGATCTAACTCATTAAACTAGATTTTGTTAAATCTAACTTAATTTCCATTATTATCTTGTTTGCTCCTTCTTCCTTTTTCTCCTTTTCATTAGGACTTCATAAGCAAAAGATACATTCATCACATACACCAACAAAAAGGATAACGTGCTTTTCACTTGTGATAACAATTGTAGATAGCCACACACAAAAATTAGACTTACACTCACATATCTCATCTGAACTACAAACCCCACATTATTTATTTGCCGAATACCAAAATCAATTAATTTTATATCCCTTATCAAATTAATGAGACCTGTTTTTCAAAATGTGTATTTTTTTACTTATAAAAATCGGTCCCCACCTTTCTTCAGTGTTTCCTACGATACCGCCATCAAGTAAGCAAGGACGTATCACGGGGCTGGTCTGGAGTTATGCAGAGGTTGATTTACTAGACAGTGTACAGATACATGAACTTCCTGGATTACTGCTGCCTATACCTGAAACGTGTGAGTTCTGTTTGGCGTTCCTTCAGAACAGTGAGAGTCACTACAGGGCAACTATTCTGTTTGAAGAGTTGAATTATCTGCGTGCCTCTATTTTTTGGCTGAATATAGCTTACACAGACCAAATGTAACTTGGACAGAGGTTAGCAGACATAAAGACGCACAAAAAACCCCCAAATATAAAGCCTCATTTCCCTGTGTAATCAGGCTAGAAAAGAAGTAGTGTTGTATGACTGGCAAATTAAATCTAGAGTAATTAAACAATTAAACAATATATAGGGAAGAATTGTAACAGTAGCTGAGTTGAATGACATTTTTACAACGCCTCAATCGAACCTCAAATCAATTGAATTTTATTGTATAGTCAGTTAACTTGATTTAATTTTTTTTAATTAAGAAATATATTTTGACAAACATATAATGCACCATTTTAAGTGTATTATAATAAATGCAGCTGCATTTCACTTAAATCCGAGTATCCTTTTTTCTCTCAAGATAGGTTTCCAACAACACTCTTTTCCTATATTTATTTCTGGACTGCATAATCATGTACCTAAATATAAACATAAATATTAAAAACAGAAACATTTTTTCTCCTTACCGCTCTACATAGATACTCTTGCTGGTTCCCAGAGCATATAAACTGGCCAATATTCTGTAACAGGAGACCTGAACATCTTCCACTAAAGAGCAGAAGAAAATGATAGATAAAAAGATTTTTCTTTGCAATACACTTCCTTAGAATTTAAATAAATTTCTTTTGACAATAACAGAATAAATAATATTAAGCTATCAAAGGAAATCCACAGAAGTCACACCCTAAATACAAAAAAAATCTGAATGCACAGTGCCACAGTTTTTTACTCAAAACTGCCATTTACTTCAATACCAAGTTACCAGCTATGACAGTAAACATATTTCACTAGTGCACTAACTTTCCAAAATTAACGATATATCAAGTCTTTACAGATAATATTTAATTGCATAATCTGAGAATTTATTAATTTAATAGCTATAAACAATGTGTCAGTGTATCTTTTCTAATGTGTCTGTAGCACATACGAAAGTTTCATGGCAAATGATATCGAGGGCTGAAAGTAAAAAAAAAAATATTAGGGAATGAATCCATTTACAAAAGTAACACCATTGTGTATAATGCATGGCAAAAGAAAGGCAATATTGTTAAGCAGGTATTTTAATTACAGTTTATATTTTTTAAAATAGAACTAAGACTTAATGTTCTGGGAGGGCCTAAAAGAGAATGATCAAGGCTATATAACTTGGCTATTTACTATACTGTGATTATAGTTGGGATCATTCTGGAGTTGAATATTTTTACATAACAACAGTAACCTCAGGTATACTGACCCTCGATGCTGTTTTAAACAATACTTTTCCAGATTCTAAAATGAGAAAAAATATAATTTGATATTCTTTTCTTCCAGGTCCTTATCTCAGTTATTTCCATAACTGAGTTAGCTACACAGAGCAGAATTGCTTCCTTCAGTGCAGTCTGGACAGAATAATTTTTGTGAAGTTGCTAAAGCATATAAAATTAAAGTTTTGTGTTTCAGACTACAAAATTTTGTCTTGTAGAGGGTGAGTTTGGGAAAATAAAGGACACTGCATCTGCCATAACCAGAAACTCTACAAAATCTCATATACACTCCATTCAAAGTCTCATATTCCCTTCTCTGGTGCCTGGATTCTTCAGGAACTCCTTCCACTTTTCCTCAGGATCTAAGATGCACCCACCCAAATCACCTGCTAATTGAAACTGAGTCAAGGTGCACATAGGACAGAATAACATCATTCTCACAGTAAAACCCCATTTATAGACAGAGCAAAGACAAATTAACTACTACAAAGTAACTTTTCACACAAGACAAATGTAACAGTAAATCTATAGTGAGTTATAAAGTTATAATCAAAACTGAGCCATCAGACTACCTAATCACGGCCACATCTGCTTTAATATTTATACCAAGTCCACTAATACCTGCAGACTGTTCTAGGTCAATTACAGCTAATGTTTGATTAAATCCATGACAATTCTGTCAAAAGGACAGAGAATTTTTCTTCTCTAATAGAAATGAGAGTCTAGTAATGATTACTACATGACATTACAGATGTTTTAGTGACATGACACTTCTAAACAATACATACATATCAAATCTTCCCCAAACTGGTGCTGTCCAATATGCTCAAATAACGAAGATAGCACTGGCAGGAGAGCAACTGTGGTATAATTAATGATTTGTGTAACTCCCTTTGGCTGGTTTCTGCTGTGTGTAAACTGGCCTTGCTTAAGATTTTCCATTGTCTTCTCCAGGTCCTCAGCAGCATTGTCCAAAAATGCTCTCAATGCCATCTTAACAGATTCCAGACCAGTTTTCATTACAGTCCTGTATATAGCAAGCAAAAAGAATGAAAAAGAATATTCTATTAGACTAGCATGGAACAAAGCCCAGTCTTAGCTTATGTGAAATAGATAATAAAGATCTGAAGAAAAATCTTGCATCTTTCGATATTGTAAGATCGTCTCATAGCAGAACAACGTACTGAAAAAACATTTCATAGGTGTCCTGCAGAACGCAAAGATATTTTATCTGGTTTCCCACTGAGAAAATAAAGTCCTTTTAAATGTATAAATTAAATGATCCATTTACCTTCAGAGAAGAAAAAAACCACCTAACAAAAAAGAATAAATAACTCTGCAATTTGTCCCTCTTGGAAGAGAAAAACTATCTCAAGCTAGAACTCAGCAACTCAATAATGCCTCCAGAATAAGGGCATCAGTAAGGAATGAGTAAAGCCAACCAAATCTGTTTAAAATAAAATAAATGCATTTATTACATAACAGTAACACCATAATCAGTTATGCAATGATACAGTCCAAGACAATTTTTACCTTATTTATTTTAACTAGCTCTATTGGGGAGATCCTTGATTTAAGGAAAGTATCCACTTAGGCATGCGTAAAATAAATCCAGGTGAAATAATTTTGTAAGTTGAACAACAGTTCAGATTTTTTGTTTGTTTGTTTGTTTTACAGAGTGAATATATACAGTTTCAATGGCAAACTTTTCAAACTAAATCCCTGTCTGGAGCTATTTTTACACCTCTACCAAGAGCTGAACTGATGACCTCCATCTGTATCTGTGTTCTATCTGTTTAACTGCATACAGCATGGACAATTTATGACCAAGAAACACAAGATATTGCAACCTAAAGGATTACTGTGCAACAGAGCTGAGCCATATTAATTGACCATGATGATGATTCTACCCATAGCAAATGGAAAGTAAAATTCGTTCATGGAAGTCAGTGAAGATACTGAGAAAAATCTACCTGCATGTGATCCAGTAAATTCTTGGAGAGTAAATGCAAAGTGAAATAAACTATCACGTTTTGTTTCATAACTTCAAAGATCTAAAAGTCAGTCATGAGCACACATAGTTGACTGTAGAGTTAATGAAAAGCAACACATTACTCTCCCATATTTTAAGACTGTCTTATCCATAAACTTCACAATGGCTCAAGCAGCTCAATTTAACTTAAAAGTACCACTGAATAAAAGGGGTTTTTTTTGTTCTAATTAGAACCTAAATTAACTTTGCAATGAAGACACTCTATGAGACAGATTTACTGCAGTCCATGTGCATTTCACCTTTTTCATTTTTTTTGATTAAACAGTGTAAGCAAGATAATAAAATATTGTGTTTTTCAGATAGTCACACAATTAAAACCAGACAAACTAACAGCTCCTGGACACCACTGATCCTAACTAAAGTTGAAAGTGTAACCAGTAAACATTGTCCTGCCAATCCCTAGTAATTAACTAGTAATTCAACTACATCGCAATGGAATTCTTTTCAGTACTATAACTTCTTGAGTTTTGAAATCCTGTAGATTTACACACGTAGCCCAAATCCAACTGCACATTATTTTGTTATGCAATTTGCTTCAGACTTTAGAAAATACATTCAGTATTACCTCGCATCCAAGGTCTGGCCCAGTATGTGAAGGCAGTTGACTATTGATGTTGCATCATTTCCTAAACAGGGAGGAAAATTATCCATCTATTAAGCTGAGCATACAGTATAGCATACCTACACTCTGCTGACTGCATCTCTGGTTTTAATGAAAGAGTAAATGACATAGCAGAAGAGCAACTGAACTTCTGCATAATTTTAACATTCAAGTTAAAAAAACATGCAGTTTGTTGTCTTAGCCTTGTTTACATAAATGCAGTAACTAGAGGCTGTAAAGCATCTCTCATCAAATAGCTGACGCAGTCAAGATGGAGGCACTTAAATGTGGGGTTAATTAGAGCTGCAGTTTATTATCTGGTTTTCACTTAAGTTCTATAAATTTTGCTTTAATGGATTCCAGTTTATCTGAACATTTATCTTCCCCCTCCCAGTAACATAAAAGCTGTTAACTTTTGCAAGCTGCTATTGCAGGAAGAGAATATTTATATAAAATGTCATCCAAAAAAAAAAAGCTGCCTGGTGTTAGCAATAGGCTGCAGCCATTTCTGGCAGGCTTAGGTGTGGCCCACATGAGTAACATTCTCTGACATAGTATGCATCTCCCATAATCAATTTATTTTTTGACACTTAGGTATGTCAAAAGAGAACTTACACACAACATGCCTTTATGCATATGTGCATCCCAAGATGTTGCCATGTACAAGTCACCTTTAAATTCACTTTTTAAATTCAGGAGAGATTTAGTCTACACAAAACTGACACACAGCTTTTTTTTTTTTTTTAATTGAAATAGCTGCAAAAATGAAAATACTTTCTTTTTTTCTGCTTCTCTGTATATTTAAAGTTTCTCAATTAAATAAAAAAAAGAGAAACAAATTGAATGTTTATGATAAGATAGATTTCTGAAAATACTGTCATCAGTGTACTACACTTTCTCACTGGTAGTTATTCCAATTGAAAACAGAGGCAAACACAACTAAATTCAGTAACTGTATCAGTGGAAGAGATTTAAAAAGATAAATTGCAAGGAAGGAGTGGGAAGGTTATTGCAGCACTGAGAGTGCTGGTTTACATTATCAAATCAGGAGGTATTGTTGTGGTGTTCATCCACAGGAGATTAAACAAACCCAAACCACAGCTTCCATGGCTGCCCGGAGCCAGGCAGCCCCACCCTCTTCGCACTGGCACTGGCAGTCACGCAAGGATACAGCGAGAAGACGAGAGAGCTGCAGTGGCCTAAACAAATCCCACCAAAAAGATGCACTCCAAAAGATCAAGGGTTTGTCAGCTCTTATTATTTTTCTTTACTACTTTACTTCTCTGTGGCATGAATACCAGTGCTGATGAAGAAGAGAGTGCAGGACTGTGCTAATGACAGCAGGGATGGGAGAAAGTACACAAAGCAACCCAGACTTAGAGTGTGGATTAGCCTGTCAGGAAACAGCATCTGGGCATTCGTCATGCAGGTCTGTGTATGCTGCATGCTACAGTGTAGTATAGAAATGCTCACTCCAGTTCCTCGAAAATTTACATTGGCAATCTATTTATACCATGTAGACACATTTCAATAGCTACATATTTATCAGGAATTGGGTACTTCATATGCTGCAAACAGATGGAATGGTCAGAAATTCATCTAGCTTTGCTGAAAGCCAGAGAGCTTTAGGCATATCCCTGTAGCAGAGATACTGCAGTCCGGTTGGTTCCGCAGACCGGGCTATCCGAGCAGAACTGAGTGGCTATGATAAATGCAGCCCACTTCAATCTGAAGTGATTGACATACTAGAATTTGGCCAATTTTATTAATGGAACACCAGAACCAGACATTCAAAACTATCATGAACTTCTTTTCTGGAATGTCTTCTTCAGGAAGGATTTGTTAACAGAATCTCAGAAAAATGCTATTTGCTATGAAAGACAGTTTTCAGTTCAGTGGCAATTCAGTGTCTTCCTTTTCTTCAATGTCATGAATTTGTTTTTACTGTGTTTCTAAAACAAAAACCCACGAAAGTATTTTTTTTTATATTTTATCTTAAAATGCCACAGTTAAAACTCAAAAAAAGTTTTTTTAAATTGAACATTTCAAAAATCAGTTCGTTTCCAGCCTGAGTTCAGAAATAATTTTCAGAAAAGCCATTTTTTTTAAAAACTGAGTTATGAAACATAAGAAGGATTGTCTAATGAAACTAGTTTTATTACTATTGTCAATTTCACAGTGTGTATATGTATATGTTCATTAAGTTAAAATATTCTTTTTTGTCATTCATTAAAAATGTTCTTGGTTTTCAGAAGCCTGAATACTAGATACAAAACACACTGATGCACAAATGAACATCCAGTATATAAAATTCCATTATATCATGAAAGGGGAGCAGGTGATAAGTACAATTCAATCGGATAAAAAAACTGAAACCAGAGCTGTTCCTTAAAGGAACCCTTCACACAACTCAAAACAATAGAGGCTGAACATATGCAAACACTAAACCACGTGAGCGAGCTCAAGAGGTTTTAAGGCTAAAGGTATCCCAGGAGCTAGTATAAATATTAGCTTGATGGCTGGATTGCCATTCAATATGTACTACAAATGCAGTTTATCCTATGAACTGCACAGTTGAGTTTCTGTAGTAATCTGAGGTGCAGTCTTAGAAAGCTGTATTACTATTATATCAGGAGGGAAGAACTATTGCTGTATTGTGAAAATGCTATGGATATTGACTCTAGGATGCCGCACTGGAAGGACACTTATAAATCAGGATATCATTAGGGAGAGAAAGGCTTCTGTTTATTTTTAGAAACTCCTCTGATTAATTTTCTAGGTTCCCAAAAATGAATGACCAAAACCAGACCTTTCTTATCTGATGTCTTATCCAGACAATTTTTGTTTCAGTTTCCATATGTCTGTATTAAGTATGTCAGTATGAAGACTTCTTTTAAAAATTACTTATGTAGAAAGTAAGTAATTACTTAAGTAAGTACTTACTTCCGTATTTACTGAAGATTTAAATAAGAAGTGAATCAATCTAGTTGATATAAAACATATAATTTTTTTTTTGAATTGAGAAAATTCATATTCTCCATTCACCAAAACTGTCCATTAAAAACTTTCAAATTCAGCCTATTAATAATAATGAAAGTAAATCAATACAGCCTTACTGATGCATAGCTACATCTGTCATACAGTATATTACTGGGGTCAAAACCTACTTTCACAGTGTCAAGAAATAATAATTCCATGCTGAATAACTATTCCATAATCTCAGTGAAACTCTTAGGTATCACATGTGACTAACTGTTCAAGTTCCCGCTGGAAGACTTGCACACTTATTTTCCCATTTTATCAGGATGTCTATATACAGCTTAGGCTACATGACTTTCACCATGGACTTTCATGCATGCAGATATATCTTCAGAAGTACGATTCAAATTCACAATTTAAAACACCTGTATAGCAAAACTACATAGCATTTTGCTATTTGTTACAGAAAACTCCCCACTAACCATAAAAGTTATTTTCAAGCAACTCTTGCTCATTCGAGATGCCTCCAAAATGCCCAAGTAACTTTCTAGGGTCCAGCTGTGCTCAGAGACTGTCCACATGACAAGTCTTCTACATAGATCTTGCCTTTACTGGAGTAAAAGCAGCTGTTTTGATCAGGTTTTCTAACATGATGTAATTCACTGTCAAGATAAGGCAAACTGTAAGGTGACTCTGACTTGAGTTAGTAGGTCCACAGTAAACAACCATGCTCCAGAGTCTTAGGGTGCACTTGTCATAACTCATGAACAAACTACAGTACATGACTGTGTTTGCTTAAAGATTTTGTATTCTGTTAGCTACTGCTCACTAGGAAAAGAGTTACAAAACTAACTGTAGCCACAGTGAATACTCATCTGATCCCATCTGGTTTATCTCCTACCACTTGAATCCAGCCAAACAACAGGAAATAAGCAAGCTGAGGTGTGGAATGGAAAAGATCTTTTCTTTAGTACTGAAGAAAGTTATACTGACTTAGATTTTTAACTTCAACTGTTACTCATCTTAGAAAAAAAAAAAAAGGCAGAAAAACAAATTCACACAATAAAGAAAAGGATTTGCAAAATTTTAATAGTATACCTGAGGTGGTTCATTCTTTCAAGAAACAATCTAGGGTATAAACCAGAGCTTATGTGTACGTTTGTGGCATACTCCACCCTTCCAAAAAAAGCTGCAAGAATGCTACACAGCTGCAGAAATAACTCCATTCCTCCTATGAATTTTTGGCTTTACAGGCAAATCCACTCAGCTCATCCCAAACCATATTTAAAAGCAATATCCCAAAATCAACTTCAAATCTTTCTTCTCAGTTTAATGGTTTTCATAATGGTCTGTAAGCTTTTTAAACACCACACTGCTGCAGCAAGTGAGTTCCTTCCCTTCAAATTGAATGAAATATGTAGGAATTGAGTTAGATGCATGTTATCTTAATCAAATTCTACTTCGCTAGATAATTACCCAATTAGGTATGTTCATGGATGGATGTTGAAGTTACAGTGCATCCATCACAGAAGCTATATATGCATAGGATGTACTATTTCAACCATCCTGTCATCATGGCATAAGAAAAAAAATTGCAGAGTAAATGACTGTACCACATATTGCATATAATGTATACACTTGATACAGACTTCAAATGGACTTCAATTAAGTGATTTTCACATGGTATAAGACAAATACCGAGCTCCTGCTAGATTCGCTTAATACCAGAAAGATAGTACACATGCGTATGGAGTCAAGCACATCTGGGAATATTTAAAAATTCCACAAAACATAATTAAGCATTTCAGCCCACTACAAATTTTCTTTAATAACTTTTCAATACAAATGTACAGTTCTGATGCTCTGTTTTTCCCAAATAATTTAGAATTCCAATTCTAAAGTAACTCACCAATATTCTTTGTCAGGATAATGAAATCCAGATATTAGTTAAGACACACAAAAAACTAATTAAAAAAAAATCCCAAAGTGATTACTACAAAAGCTTTTTATTCCTTCTAATACATTCTGTGATCTACCAGCCCAAAAAATTAGTGGCCTGTGAAAACCATGCATTTCAGCCATGCAGCATGCAACAAAGCAGCATATAACACAATGCAAAAATGGCAAAGAAAACCAAGTGATGGCCATGCTAGTATTTGTCAAGGGTCTCCTTACCAAACAGTGAAATCCTATGCCTGACAAGAACTCCAAGTTTGCAGAACAGGCTGAAGACAAAAGAAAAATAAAAGAGAAGAGAAGGGAAAAGAAAGAAAATAGGGGAGGGGGGAGAAGAAAGAAAAAATAACAGCTGATATATGAGCAGGAAAAGCAACATGATGTCACGCAGAAAGAATCAATTATCTGAGCAGAATGTGGGACAGAATACTAAAGAAAGTTTTTAAGTGCATATCTTAACAAACATGGTTAAATAAGCACATATTATAATTAAAGGAACAAAATAAAATTAAAAGCAAAGCTAATTAATATAAAAGCGTCCTATATGATAACCCATGAGAAAATAACCATCAAAGCTTTAAGAAGTAAAATGTGGTCAGTGTGCTATTCAGGATACCACTGACAATGTGAAAAGAAAAGGTAAGGAAATCAGATTAATTGAAGTGTTTGATGGCAAATGTTAACTAGTCAAATTTGTATCTTGTCATCTCGAACACTGATAATTTATTTTCAGATACAATGCTTTTAAACACACTTAACATGAGATATATCTCCTTATGTGGTTAAAACCCAACAAAAATGGATACGACGAATGATGATTCTAAGTTTGAATTACTTCCTCTGCTGATGAGCAGTGCCATTCAGAACAATGAAGAATGTGGTTTTGTGTAAATTCATAGAAGCAGGAGCACACTGCCCTACTCAAATTGACCTGGGCTCCAGATTTAGAAGGTGTTAGCTCAATCTTCATGATACAGTTTAGTCTGAGAATTTTCTCCAAAAGCAACATCAATTTTGGTATTATTTTTTTTTCCTGCAAAACCCCTCATCTGCTATAAATGACATGAACAGTATCATGTCATTTTATTAAGCTATTTAATTATTAGGCATACAGGCTAGTTATGAACCTCTGATTTAAAAGCAAAAGACACCATAAGCATGTCTGCACAGTTTATGGATGAGATCTGAACATGTTGTTCCATTGACAGTCAAGAGCATGGTGCCAAATGGAAACATTTATGTCCAGAATCAGAACAGCCAGGTTAATGTGGTGTTGAAACCAGCTAATTAGCCAGTATGCAGTGATCCACCATAACAACAGCAGCTGCTCTGTTTTAGAAATGAGTCTGGTTGGTGCAAGTTTAGGGATCTCTCTTCACTTTTTATTCCATGAGGCAGACATATGCTATGTATTTATTTATGAGGATCACGGTTCACTCAGTTCAGCATGAAAAGCTGTACAGAAGCATCTTAGCATCATATAAATCTTGTGTCCATTTTAACGAAGACATGAAATAGCTCTCAATCTATCTTATTTTATAAAATAGTAATGTTACTCAACTGACTAGCGTTCAGCAGATGTTACGTTTTCACACAATCAGACTGACCCTACTATCTCCACTGCAATTAGTTTAGGATAAATTAATAAATTATCCAAATGGCCAGTACTTAGATCAATGTTCAGAACTAAATTTTTGCAACAGCAGTAATACAAGGACTCGTAAAATGATCTAATAGATGAGAAATGCAGAAAGTCGAATGCTGAAGAGGCTGGTTAAGATGGAATATAATGCCACCATATTTCAGGAAGAGGTCTGACCTGTATTTGCCCACAAAATAGATCTGGAATTAATGTATTTGCTGAACACAGAATGGGTTTTGTGCTTATTAACACGTTTACTGTATTATCAATACCCCAAAATACGTTATTCCACAGATTAACAAATGTGAGCTTATCTTCACTGGAAAAAGCAAGCAGACAGGAACTGCCCTTAGCTCGAAGAAAATCTTATACATAAGTTGCATTCAAACAAATCTAAAGGGAACATACAATGCAAAAAGAAATTGGGAATCTGTTAAAAAGGCCCAAAACAACCCTCCAGGAAATGGACCATACAATGCAGTTTCTATAATCTTTGCATCTTAATAATAAAGGAATAAACTGCTCAATAGCACTGGTTTATAGTTAGCATTCATCCAAGATTGTCCTGCATGCGTTTTCTTCTTTTAGGCTAACACTTCTGGATGGCAGGCAACTCAACTAAGTGTAGCAGCAGCTCTGATCCTTTTACTGGGCTACATATTCGGGAATCTCACATAGTTAGACAACACATGTGCAGAAGTCCTGAACCTACGCAGCATGTATGCTGATATACCCGTGTCTGACACAGTCCAGAATTAACGGGTTTACTGACTGTTGTTATCCAGGACATTGCAGACAGAAAAACAGCAGCTTGTAGATTGGAAAATTATCCAGATGCATGCATTTTGTTGGAGTTTCAGTCTTTAAAGAATGCCATTCAGCCAAGCTGCCAGATCAAATCAGTCCATAAAGATGACACAGGGTCAAGACAGCCATTACTTACTTACGCTTAGTATTGTTGCTAGAAACTTCACTCAGTATTCACACAGTCTTGCAAACCCCACATGCCTGTATGTCTTTGCTGTCAGCCTCAAGGAACAGCAATTCAGTTTTGCATGGTTCAGTACCCACTAACAAGCAAGAAAACAACCACAATACCTGTATGTTACAGGTATGCAGTAGGGTCCTGTGTGAAGCTTGAAGTCCACCTTACTAAATGGGAAATAAGGGCTTCAATTCCATCAGAAGCGAAATTAAGTGAAAACATATCTTAGAGAAATTATCTAAAAAGTTGATAACTTCAGAGAAAGAATCAAATGGATATTTATGTCATGTTATCACTGTTATTACTATTTAGAAAATCAAAGAGCAGAAGGAATGCAACTCTGTTTTACTTTTTATGGTGGACACTAACAAAGATACTTACTGAAACTCAGTTACAAATGAGTTTAAATCTGCCACAAAATTTTGTAGGAATAATGATTTCAGTATATACCTATTTCCAACAGTCTAAACTGATACATGATTATATAGCCTGTGCAATTGAAGTACTGGTGCACATAATGCTAAATTTAAGTTCCCTGAATGCTAAGATTATCATCACTACCTTTAAAACAGCAAATAATGACAACGCTGTACCCCTCTCCATTTTACACAATGAATTTCCCTAACAGGAAAATAAAGTAAAAAAAGTTTAATTTGCATGTCCATAAAAATCCTTCTCTGACTCTCACATCTCACTTTCCACAATCAACTGCTGCTGTTTAAAGACCAACACACATATGCATACACATTTGTATTATTTTAAGTTTTACCTTGTCACCATTTCTTTCTCTTTATTAGAGGCATGGCCTCCACTGCTGAGAGGCCTACTTGCTGCAGATAAGAAATACAGGCGATGGTTTTTAAAATACTGATCAATCAAAGGGAGCACAACCTGAAATTACATCAGAAAGAAGTGGTTATCTCAGGGCTTTCTGTATTACTCTCTGTAAGTCACAACTAAAGACAGGCGATTTAAAATGTGTTTTCAGTTTTTAAATTTCTATGCATTTTTTCTTTAATGTCTATTCATCTTTGAGTTTATTTAGTACTGAAGGCAGTTAAAATGTCATCAGGAAAGGCAGCAGAAGAAATTTTATATCACCTCTGGGATCTGTGGAATGTTTTTTAGGATTTTTTCCAGTACCACAGACCCATACACAACCATTGCTGTTCATGCTTTCTAATGTAAATTTAAGAAAAATTTACCTACAACTGTCAACGCACTAACAGCACTTAATTCTAGAGGCTATGAAATAAAATTCCCAAAATACCCTCACTCATTAAGGGCTTGCCCACAAGTTTTCCTGTTTATTTCATGTAGTGACCATTACTCAGTGCCCACTGCTGCTGACAGCCAGGAGGGGATCCAAAATAAACCACCAGTAAGAAAATCTGAAATTGCTTCCTCTTTGGAGCTAGCTTCTGAGTCAATGAACATGGCAAACAGCACCATATGGAAGTACTTTAAGATATTGAGATCAGAATTTACTGCAAGGATATCAGGGCTAGAAAATGCTGCAAACATCTGCCTTTGCTTATCCACTAATGAACTGAAAAGGCACTTTGAATATGCAGACACCATACAAGCTTTTAGATGTAAAAGGACTAAACAGATTTTCTTAATTTATAATGTGTAAAACCTTGACACAAAAAAGAGAACTGGGCTGACTGGAATCTCATGACTTTCAGCAAGGGGAAGTGCAAAGTCCTGCACCTGGGAGGAATAACCCCAGGTACCAGTACACACCAAGGGCTGACCAGCTGGAGAGCAGCTTTGCAGAGAAAGATCAGGGAGTCTCAATGGACAGCAAGCTGACCATGAGCCAACAATGCACCCTCACTGCAAAGGCAGTCAACAGCATCCCAGGTTGTATTAGAGTTGTCAGCAGGTCCAGGGAGGTGATTCTTCTTCCCCCCTCAGCACTGGTGAGGCTACATCTGAATGCTATGTCTGGTTCCAGGCTCCCCAGTACAAAAGAAACATGAACATATTGGAGAAAGAGTCCAGTGAAGTGCCACAGAGATGATTAAGAAACTAGAGGATCTTTCAAATGAGGAGAGATTTAGGGAGCTGGGACTCCTCAGCCTGGAAAAGAGAAGGCTCAGGGAGGATCTCATCAATGTGTACAAATAATCTGAAGGGAAGGTGTAAAGAAGATGGGCCCAGGTTCTTTGCAGCTGTGCCCTGTGGCAAGACCACAGGCAATGGGCACAAACTGATACACAGTTGGTTCCCTTTGACCATGAGGAAACACTTTTGTACTGTGAGGGTGACCAAGCACCAGCACAGGTTGCCCAGAAAAACTGCAGCAACTCCACCCTTGGAGATATTCAAAAGCCTCTTGGACATGGTCCAGGGCAGCCTGCTCTAGGTGGGGTACCCTGCTCGAGCAGTGAAGTTGGACTAGGTGACCTCCAGAGGGCCCTTCCAACCTCAGCTATTCTGTGATTCCATGATGGAGACATCAGCATGGTTTTGAAACAAGGAAAGAAATAAGGAAGGTGACATTGAGAGACACATAGCTGTGTTAATTCCAATAGCCATTGCTCAAATTTATCTGCCTGCAGATTGTAAAAGAGAAAAATCTTCAGAATTGGACTAAGCCAGTAAACACAAAAATGTAGGGATGTTATGAATAACATCATATAAGTAGCTGCATATCACAGAGTAAGGAAATAATGTTATGGTCCTGTATTTTTTTCACATCTATACTTCATCCTACAGTATTTTCAAGCTGGTTTTATTACTATTGTTTTTTAATTAATAAAATAATTATTTTAGCACAGAAAAGTGAAGCTATAACAATAATAATCATGTTCAGTAATAAATACTTTCTCACTTCTCCTGCTTACTACGTTGACAAAGAACAAAGATATACTGTACTTTGGCAAAAAACTTGATTTCTTGTTCATATGGGAAGTGTTCTCCTTTGCCTCTGCTGCCACCATCTGCAGAAAGAAGAAAATTAAGCTCCCTGTAATACTTCCTAATTACAGTCTACTCTGTATTTTTCTTAGAAAGCATACACTATAAACAAATAATACTGGTAATCCATCTTTAATTGTAGATTTAAGATACCAAAACCAGCATACATGCCAGTTAAAGTGGCATTTTATGACTACTTCATGAGAAGAAAAGTTTTAGCAAATAAAATGTGTAAAGAATAATTGTCCAAATCTTCATGAAAGTGTATACATCTAATAGTCCAAAGAGATATGGATATTTTTGAGAGATAAAAGTCTGGTCCTATGTTTGTATTTTTCTAGAAATTGGTGACAATTTCAAAGCCTGAAGTCAGATTCTAACAGTTGTTCCCAGGAGAAACAGAATCACTAAACTTTCACTGCTGATTTGTCTAAAGGACAAAGTTAATGGTTAGAACTACCCAACTGAAATTAAAATTGCCTCACTTCCACTATTGTTATTAAAAACAACTACTTTTTACAGACATATTCTGGTACAGCTCCCAGACATTTATTTTATTACACGTTCTTCTACTTATGATCATCTTACTAATCCATCGAGGGACATTAACAGTATTTGTTCCACCAGTGTTTCCAGTGTTCCAGTATTTATTCATTATCATTCTTGCAGTTATGCCAAATGTGTATAATGAAAGAGCATGAAGCCATGATAGCCAGGCATTAGCAGCAGAAGTGACCCAATCAGTTACCATGGCCAGACTTTTGCTATTGCAAGTAACCATGGCAAATAATAATTCATTAATTTGATAATTTCTACTTTAAAACTAGATAGGCTTTTGGATAAGCGCTGATTATCCAATCTCCCTGCTCTTCCTGCCATTAGTACTGTCAATTACAGCATCTATGCCTAGACATGAGGCATAGTACATGTTATGTGGCATTGCAACTCTCATGGTCACACAGAACCTGCATCTGGCCAGGCTTTTTGGCTTTTAATGCTCATGTAAGAAGATGAGTTGGGTCACCAAACTTTCTTTGATCTATAAAATAAGCAGATCAAGTTAAATCTTTTCCTTCATAGCACCATTGATGAAATACATACTGGGTGTTTGTGAAAGAACATTCCCATTGTGCAAGGCAATTGTTAAAGAGGTTTCTCTACTCAACTTTGCTCTGTGAAAAAGGAATTACATGTGAATATTATTGTGCACACGTGAGAGATTATCAGTTTGTGAATAAATACAAGGGGCAGCTAGTTTTCTTTTTGAAAGAATGAAAGTCATTATAAATTTTAGCTGAACACTTTTCATCCGATGAATGAATATGGGAAACTGGAATGAATATGTGAACAACATAACTTTCCAACTTTCATAATTTTCTTCAACTATAGGAAAATAGAAGGTAAACTCCTAGTCCAAGAATGGGTCTTTAAAAAAAAAAAAACCCACTAGGTGATTTTATAATATCAAACATCTTAGTTATTAATTCTTAAGAAAATGCCCAAGGAGTACTGTACCAAACTCCAGAATGTACTGATGGGCTTCATCCACATATCTTATAAGTTGCTGAAGGAAACTGTAGGCAAAGCGTTTCTCAATGGAAGGTGTGTCTAATTCCAGGTCCTTAAGTCCTCTGTAAAAAGAAGCAAGTCAGTTCTCACAAACGCAGAATCAAAGCACTTATCCTTCCATGTAGTCTGATGCAATTTCCTCTAGTAATGATTAGCTACTCATTAACATAAGATCTGTGTTTGAAATTAACAGTACTCTTACACTTATTTAGGTTTTGACCAATTTGTTAAGATACAACTCAGATTTCTCAAGTAGAAAATTAGAGAAAAACAAGACTAGTCAATCAGATTTATCGAGTATCATTGTAATTTCTTTCCCTTACTTGTAAGGCATTACTGCCCTGCATTTCCCTCCAGGGATTGATTCTTGGGTGAAGAAGTTTTGAAACTGCCAAAATACTTATTTAAGCAATCAAATGAGAAGTAAATCTAGTCTTCCTCATCATGATTCTCCCCCAAAAGCCTGTTTGGAAGAACTCTGAATAGCTACGTAGCATTTGTGAAAAATCGGGAAAACCAAAACAGAGGGATGGAATTGGAGTTTACTTTTACAGTTATGTTCCATCATAGTTACTAGTCTGATATGAAAAGCGTATCTCCTTACAACTAGTATGAATCTGCAGAGCATGGTTCAATGATGTGGGCTGGTATCTGTTGTCAATGACATAAGCCTTAATTATGCAGAACCGGGACTTCAATGATGGCACATGCATCAGCAAGGGAGTCAGTCACCCCACTATCAGAGGCACAGAGTACATGACTACTCAGTTATTTTGCAAGTTAAAAAAGCATACCTACTGAATATAACTGCCTGTCTAGTGCACAGTTCTGCTTTGAAGTAGAATATTGTTGATGGTAGGGTTCAGTTTCAGAAAAAGAAAGATTCTGGAACTAAACAGCTTGGTCAGTCAATACTTGTAAGGGTACTGTCTGCTTCATTAAGGGTATCTGACCAAAGACCTTCTCAACGCAAAAGGTGTTTTTTTGCATTGAGGGAATACAATAAACATAAGAGGGAAGCCATAAACAAGAACCTGGACACACAAACCTGGTAGACAACGGATAAAGGAGGTAATGCTGGAGACCAAAAGTTTCCAGTTACTAATTAACAGGCCATTAAGAAACTTCAGACACAGTTTTGGAGAGGGCCATCTGGATTTTGTAACTTGTAAGAGAAGGGGACATGAAGAACATGAGGATTTGGAATATTCGAGGCAGGTCAGTGGAACTACACAAGCTGATGGTGGAATGTGCAAGGGAAGAGGATCAAGGAAGAGTAAATGGGAGAAAAGACAAAAAGGGACATAAAATGGGCTAGTCACAAGTAAACTGTGGCCTGTCAACACAGTTGTCTGACTGAACTCTGTACCTCATCAAGTAGAGTCAGTCCCTATCTTCATATTAAATCCTTTCAACTCTCACTCACTAGCCCTACGTGTAAGCGTGTGTTGTGAAGAGTAGTGCCAGCTACAGGCAAGATCAGTGCAAGTGGATACTGGGTCAACAACTGAGTCAGACTTGGGGTGTAGGTGCCCCCAAGGCCTGTGGTGCCAGCAACAGGAGTGAATGAGAGTCTCAGCATCACTAGCTGGATACTCCATAGTTTTTGGGAACGTCTCAGTGCGTCCTACTATAGACTTCAAGCTCAGAGTGCCAGCTACTGCAGGAGACTGGCTTAAGTGGTGGTAGCAATTGGAGTCAGACGGAGGGGGGGAGTTA